GTGGGGCTCGGGCACAGGACCGGAGTTGTACAAAGCTAGGAGTCTTTCCCAGTCAGCTCACTGTGCCTTAAGATAACAATCAAGAGTTAGTGCAAGATCTCTCCATCCTCTATTGCTAGGGTCCTCTGGAACAACAGCATTACACTATAGCTTTGGGGTTATGGGGGGGTCTCCTCCCGAAGAGGATTTTAAAGGGAGTTTTCCCTATGAGGTAAGGGGTGTTGCGCACCCTGTATAGGGCGAAGGGGGAGGAGAGACGCCCAGTCTGTGCCAGTCTCTAGAATTAATTTCATCAAGGCCTCTTTTAGAGTGCAGTTCATCCGCTCTACCTGTCCTGAGCTCTGGGGACGGTAAGCACAATGTAATTTCCAATTGGTCCCCAATACCTCTGCTAAACTCTGTACTATCTGTGAGGCAAAAGCTGGGCCATTGTTTGATCCTATCTGATTGGGAATTCCAAATCTAGGCATTATAGCTTCTAGTATTTTCTTTGCCACCACCTGTGCAGTCTCTTTTTGGTGGGAGGGAACCTGTATCCACCCTGAGAACGTGTCCACAAACACAAGGAGGTATTTGTATCCATATTTACCTGGCTTCACTTCAGTAAAGTCCACTTCCCAGTACGTACCCGGTTCTTCCCCTCATTGTCGGGACCCTGGATTATGGGGACTAGGCACACTGTTAGTTAAAGCACACACTTTACATGAAGCAATAATTTCATCAATTTTGGTGTTTTGATTCTGTATCTTGATCTTAGACCAGCATAGGAGGTCTTCTATCTTTCGAGCTCTGAGGTGGGTGGAGGAGTGCATGTCCTGGAGGATTTCCCGTCCCAGCTTGGCAGGCACTAGTGCCTTGCCATCACAGGTGACATACTAGCCATTGTACTTTTCTGGTGAGTGAACCTGGGGGACCTGATCAATCCATTTGAGATCTGCAGGGGTACATTCTGGGCATTTAAGGAGAGTTGGAGGCCCAGGATCTGGCAGAGTAATGGCAGTGAGTTCAGAAGTAACTAAAGTGGCTCCAGTTTTGGCAACCTGGTCAGCTCACCAGTTGTCTCTGGCTGTTGGGGAGTCTCCCTGCTGATGGCCAGGGCAATGAATGATAGCCAGTTTTGGGGGTAGCCATAGGGCTTTCAGGAGATCAAGTATCTCCTCTTTATTTTTGATAGTCTTTCCTTCTGCTATGAGGAGCCCTCTCTCCTGATAAAATGCACCATGTACACGGGTGGTTGCAAAGGCATATCTACTATCAGTATAAATGTTCAGTTTTAGACCCTTTCCTAGAGTCATGGCCTGTGTCTTCCCAACTTCCCAGGTTGGGGCCAACACCCTCAACTACGGGTTCTGAGTTCCCAGGTCGGCTATCCGACTACAGGCAAGTTTCTTGAACACCAAACACAGACAGAAATGGGCCCAAAGACAGACAGACAGCCAGCTCACACTCACCTGGCCTCCGGACCGGGTTGCTCAGAGTGTGTTTGTGTGCGTGGGGGGGGAATCCCAGACGAACCCCCAAATGTTGTGCCCAGAGTTTGGAATTTTCCCCAGGAAACACTCAAGAGACTTGGTCTAATGCAATCAGCAAGAGGCACTTTATTGCAGACTTGAGTTTGGGCCATCCACACCTGATGCACCAGGAAATAGAGCGGCCCTGACCTTAAGATGGCGGGGGATTTTATGGGCTACAGAAGGCAAGAAGAGGGGGCATCAGGGGGGTCTACTTGGTGTGGCTTGATTGGTCTAGGGGTTGCTAAGGCCTTGAGCAGCTCACAGGTGGCTTGAGCAACGGCTGTGCAACCAGGGGTGGAGGAGGCAGCAGGATGCAGTTTTGTGGGTTGCCAGTGGAGGGTGGGGTGGAGGGGCAAGGAACATAGCTTATGTAGTAAACAACAAAATGGCGGCACCCCAAGATGGCGTTGGTCTGGTTCTCACAGCACAAAATTATTACTGCCCGCTCTGGAGGCCAGAGACCAAAGTCACAATGTGCACCGGTGTGCTCCTCCCAGAGGGCACGGAGTGTGCCCTGGTGTGCTCCTCCCAGAGGGCGTGGAGCAAAACGTCACTGCCTCTGCTGGTTCCCAGGGCCTTGGTGTGGCACTGACGGTGCCTTCTTGGCATCCCCCTGCCACACCTCCCCTCCTCCCACCTCCCTCTCATAGTGATGACACGGGCCCACCAGGGCGACTGAGATGATCTCCCCAATCAAGACCCCCGACCTAACCCTCACCAGTAAAGACCCTTTGCCACAGAAGGTGACATCCACAGGTCCTGGGGATCAGGGCATGGGCACCTTGGGGGCCACTACTCTGTCTTCTACACCTGGATCCTTTGTCCTCACTTAAGATTGTAATAGCTTTTTGGAGCTCAGTTAGAATTTTCTGTAGACAATCACGTCTGAGGAAGCAGCTTCTCCCATCCCTCCCAAGTCGTGCATCCTTATTTCTGGCTTTTGCTTTCTCACAGCAGCCACACCTCTGTGTCCGGAGTGTAAGAGGATGTCATCCTGCCGCATGCCTGATCTCGGCGTTCTGTGCTCTGCTGACATTCACAACTGGCCCCACAAACACAGCAGGGCCCTTCCAGCCTCTGCCCTCCTGGCTCGTCCCTGCCACATCCCCTTGTCACACCCCATCCCTAGGGGAGTGTGTCCCTCTCCACTACTTCATGATGCAAACCAGGATGTTATATTGTTCCAAAAATAATTTACTTGTACTGGGCGCTGAAAACTAATCCCCAGAATCCTTTTTATACATATTCTTTCAAGGATTAAGATCAGCTGTAATGCCCTCTGAGCGTTTCCTGGGGTCCCAACCCACAGGTCGGGGATCAACAGACTCTGATCAATGTGCCCTATTCCCCCAAGACTGTCCAGTGTCTGCAGGGGAAAAGCAGCCTTGGTCTTGAGCTCACCTCCCTGCATCTCATTCTACCACTTTGTCAGCCCTTAGCCCTGAGGCCTTCATGCCCGCTGCAGCCTGCATGCTCCCACCCTCAACACTCTCAACATCTTGAACAGGATGATTCTGTCAGGGGGGCTGACTCATGTACCACAGGTGCTGAGATCCATGTCTGGATGCCAGAAGTCCCCGCCAGGCCCTTCATTGTGAAGATACGCACCATGACATACTCCTCCCTGCCCTGGGTGCAGAGGAGGGTCTCAGAAATCTCAAACACCTTTGAGTCAACTGTGATCAGGCACGGGTGACAACCCTTTAGCAGGGTACAAGCTGCAGCACCTGTCACGCTCCTCATTCAAACAATGTAAGGGGGAGTGGATTTGAGCTGACCTAGCCCTGCACTCCAGCACCTGGTGCACAGCTATCTGCTGGGAGCCTTTAGGAAACCTGTCTGCTTTGCCGAAATGTCTTACTGAGGCACAACTTAAATACAGTACAATATAAATGTCAATTCAGGGAGTTTGCAGAGTTGTATACACTTGTAAAATTGCCACCACTGGCAAGACCTGTCCTGGCCAGGCCTGCGACACGGCAGGGCACAGACCAGAGCTTTAGTCTCACTGGCAGGAGCCCCCCCCACACACACAGAGTCCTCGACATGCCAGAGTCCTGTGAGCTAAGCACAGGAACAACTGTGAAGACAAAAAAGCTCAAAAGGGAAAAATATGGACAGAAGCAGATGCCAACACAGCATTCTGGCCAACCTGTCTCACTCATGAGACTCCTGCAGTGCTGGTCTCAACTGCTGGCACCTGCAAGGACTGGGCAAAGTAGGTGCCGCCTGTGGCTTTAGTGTCCTGCAGGACTCCAGAGTCAAGTGCAGACACCCTCAGCACTCGCGACAAGCGGGGGGTGCTGAATCTGCCTTAACCAGGCTAGTGGGGGTCATATCCTATGATACAGGTGGGACAAGCAAGGGAATAGTCCACAGGTGAGCATGGGGGGCAAAGCCAAGAGCACCATGGGCAGAGGCGGGGGCTTGGACACTGCTTCTGAGGACGGTGACAGCCTGGGGCATGCTGTGGGTGGATGGCCAGGAGACTCAGTGAAGACAGTGCCTGTAAGCTACCTGGGAAAGGCAAGAGAAGGAAGCTAGCTGGCCCTTGAGGGACCAGGAGTGGGAGAGGACACCCTGCCAGTGCCTCCAGGCACAAGTCACCAAGTCACTCCCGCCCAGTCTGGAGTGTTAACATCCTTGGAATGTAGCATCCCTCATTATCCTACCTTCACAGGAGCTCCACACTTGCCAGGATAGAAGACAGTTAACAGAAAAACAGCAGCAGCCCAGGCAGGGGTCTGGCTGAGATGTAGTCCTGGAGGGGCTGGAGGGCCCAGGGAGCAGGGCAGGGCCTGCGGCAGGTGTGCTGGTACAAGGCAGCTCTAGCCGTGGCTTCTATCTTTTTTGCAACGTCCCAAATCTACTTAGAGTGGGGAGGATGTGGAATCCACCAGACAGATTACAGGCAGGGAGAGCCAGGGTTTCCTACTTCTACAAACAACTCTAAAACCAAGCTCTGAGAAGAAGGTGACCCACGAAGGTAACTTTGTAACTAGTGGCTTGTTCCTTCACTTGAATACCACCTCCCAAAGATCTTCACTGAATAGAGTCTTAACCAGCAGACACTCAGCAAGGCCCACCCAGCCTCGAGGAAATAAAGGGCATGACCAGTCAGACAAGCACACAAGGAACTTCGTCTTATGACAATTACTAAACGGGACCCCACAGATATCTTCACAAATGCCTTCATTTATTCACCCTCCAAAATGGTTCAGAGACCCTGGTCCCTGCACTGAGACACAGGGTCACTAACATGTCAGCTGGGACGCGTGACTTCCCCTTCCTCCCCTCAGTCTTTCTGTTTTCCCTTCCAATCCTACCCATCTTCAAATACTCTCAAGATTTTAAAGGCAAATGTGTTTTGCAGTATCAAAAATTCACACCGGAACTGGAAAATACAAAAAAGCCAAAAGAAAGTGTAACACTAACACACATCCAACAAACACATTAAGGAAGGTGAAGTGACACATTTTGTGGCATAAGAAAAATAATCAGTTTAATAATTACAACAATGTAGCATCAACATTGCAGTGGTCCACTCACGCCCACACAGGACAGCCTGTGCTGTTTAAACCAGGAGTTTCTCCATGGTTGTCGAGGGGCACCCTGGCTGTCCCAGATGCCCAGTGCATGTGAACAAGCACAGATGTCACCGGGCACGATGACACGGCCTCAGATGCTACATTTTAACAGCGCTTATCACCAAAAGTGCTCCACGTCTGAGGGGAAAAAAAATGGCTTTGTCTCATGATCCACAAAGGTGAGAGCAGCCCATGGGTAAACAGTGCCCCTGAACCTCTAAGCCAGACTCCCTCCCAGGGGAGGTCACAAGGTGAAATGATAGTTATACACAGCAGGGCAGCTGTGTACAAAGAACTGCTCTCAGATGGATGTCCTTGCTCCCTAAAGCACGGAAGACACTGGACCCAGAGGAGAAAGAGGCAGTGAGTGCGTGAACGCCAAGACCCGATGGCCGCCCTGTGCTGGGGGAGAGACGTTAAAACACGTGTGTTCATAGGAAACACTTCGAGCTGATCATTAAGGCAGGTCTGTAAGAGATCCATCCAGGGGGGCATAGACAGTGACACTGATGGCTACATGAGGACAGGCTGCAGTTAACTCCCAGCAGGCCAGCGCAGTGACCCGTCCTGAGCAGCGAAGTGACCGAGGAGAGTAGTTCCTGAGTTGAGATCTGCCCACGACAGCAAACTCCAGCACGCTTGAGCTTAACTGTTTCCTTTGTAATGTCTTCTGCATCATCAAAAAATGACTCGTAAAAAAAGAGCTCACCAAAAGCAAACAAAAAAGACTAGTCTTTTCTTGTCCTAACACCAATGAATAAAATGCTAAATACATGTAATTGGCAATTCTCCTTAAAGGTCCAAATCATGGCCAGGTTCTGAAGCCCACACAGACCCTGCACCCGCACCCAGGTGGGCAGGAAACTGGTGGGGCGTGCTTGGGCACAGACTAGGGTCAGCAAGGGCATGGAAGAGCCTTAAACAGCCAGACAACAAGCCACTTCCAAAGCTGCGATTCAAAGGCATCAGAACACAAAGGGTGTGGGTGCAGTTATGGGGAATCTGACCAGCAGCCAGAGAACCAGAATCACATCTGATGCCAAACAAGTTGTTCTGAGACACGTGTGAGTACATAGTGCTGCAATTTTGGTTTTAAAAGATGCAACACTTACTCTACGAAAAAGTTTATCTCACTTTAAAAATCATCCTCTTCAGAGAAAGGGAAACAAAGCCAAGTTCTGTGGTCACCATTATTTATTGCAGAAGAAAGAAAACTTGGCCCCATGGGCCAGGCTTCCTGTTCAGGGCTGCTCAGAACTTGTAGAACCTGCCTGGGCCCCAAAAGACCAGCAAAACTGAGGCCCCAGTGGGCTTCCTTCCTCTGGCTCATCTGCATTTGGACACAGAGCAGGAAATGTCCCCATGTCTGAGCTTCCACAACTCAGCTGACCTGAAGATGTGTATTGCTTGACCCTTGCTCAGCTGCTGCTGTGCCCAGAGGTAAAGCAGGCCTCAGGCAGACTGGCCTGACAGTGAACTTGACCCCCAGGATCAGCGCACAGCATCACCTATCTGCTGCCACCAGAGCAGCGAGATGTAATAAATAATAATTTTATTTACAGGTTCTGGTTAAGATTTCTCTTTTGGGGGGGGACAGCATTTTGTCATGTTATTAAACTAGCCTGTATAGGAGAGTCTAGGCAACATCCCCAGATGCAGTGAACACACCCTGCCAGTCCTAGACACAAGGAGAGAGAGGGGCAGGCACCAGCAGGTGGACAAGGGGCCACGTCAGCGACACCTTGAGTGCAGGCTGGGTCTTAGCCAGCCAGTGTGCTGCCCTGGGAGCCACGGGTCTGGGAGGTAATACTGCTCTACAAGATTTTCGAATGGGGAAGAAACATCTTTGCAGACATAAATAAGGCTAAATTATTTAGACACACTGAGGTGGGAAGTACTGTTATAGCCCTGTAGAGCGCACGGTGATGCAGAGCAAACCAGGCGTCCACAGGAGCTCCCCACTGCTGCTCTGACGGGTGTGTGAAGAGGGCTTCTCGCTGCCCCGCTGGAAGGGCTGGTGGTGGGAAGGAGATTCCAGCACAGGCACGAGCTCAGACACAGCCACTCTGGGCATGCATCCACGATGAATATTTACAAGACACGTATACATAACAATATTTATATATTCAATTCGAAGTCTGGAAAACCAGAAGTTTTAGCCCATCACTGCACTTATTGCAAAATGAGGTAAGTGAGAGAGACGGAGGCAGGAGTGAGATGGGCGCAGCCCAGGTCCTCGGTGTCTCCTCCCGCCTGGGTTCTTCAGAAGGGCTTTATCATTCTGTTCACAGGATTAGCTCGGGGAGCAAGGTGACTTTCTGTCCAGCCTGCCCTGCAGTCCTGAACATCCCTGACCTGGGTCAGGAGGCCCCAGCTTCATCTTGGAGCTGGTCTTCACCAGAACAAAGGGAATTCCTACAGGTTTGTCTCATCCCAAGCAGGATCGTTCATGTTCTTCAGAACTTTCCTCACCAGCTTTTCTAGGTCTTTGCGTGCTCTCTGTTCTTCCTCTAGAGATTTCTTCATCTTTTTGTTATCCTGTAAATTAAGCAGACCACAGTACGTTCACACAGCTGGCACAGACCAGGCTCTCCTTTCCCCAAACACATCTCCCAAGAAACCCTGGCCTCAGTGATTGAGATGCTGACTATTAATTGCTTGTGCACTATGGGGTCAGGGTGGTCAGCAGAAGACCCCGGCTTCAGTGAATGAGATGCTGCGTGTAAGTGTCTGTGCACTGTGGGGTCAGGGCGGTCAGCAGGAGACCCCCAGGCTTAGTGAATGAGACCCTAGGAATAACTGTGCACTGTGGGGTGAGGGCGGTCAGCAGGAGACCCCCGGCCTCAGTGAATGAGACCCTGTGTGTAGCTGTCTGTGCACTGTGGGGTCAGGGCGGTCAGCAGGAGACCCCCGGCCTCAGTGAATGAGACCCTGTGTGTAACTGTCTGTGCACTGTGGGGTCAGGGCAGTCAGCATGAGACCCCCGGGCTCAGTGAATGAGACCCTAGGAGTAACTGTCTGTGCACTGTGGGGTCAGGGCGGTCAGCAGGAGACCCCCGGCCTCAGTGAATGAGACCCTAGGAGTAACTGTCTGTGCACTGTGGGGTCAGGGCGGTCAGCAGGAGACCTCAGGCCTCAGTGAATGAGACCCTGTGTGTAACTGACTGTGCACTGTGGGGTCAGGGCGGTCAGCAGGAGACCCCCGGGCTCAGTGAATGAGACCCTAGGAGTAACTGTCTGTGCACTGTGGGGTCAGGGCGGTCAGCAGGAGACCCCAGGCTCAGTGAATGAGACCTTGGAAGTAACTGTGCACTGTGGGCTGAGGGCCGTCTGCAGGAGACCCCCCGGCCTCAGTGAATGAGATGCTGTGTGTAGCTGTCTGTGCACTGGGGGCTCGAGGGTCACCCTGTGGACTCTGTGTCACACATCCCCCACAGCTCCTGGGAGCCAGGGTGAATCAGGTGGGAAACAGCACTTTGGCTCATGTTCATTTTAGTTCATAAATGAGAGACTGTGTAACATCCAAGCTAAAGAACCAGCTTCTGCCCAACGCTTCCTTTCACATCCACAATGATCCTACGGTGTCACAGGGAGCACCCAGGTACCAGTCACTGAATGAACCCAGCGATTCTTGGGCTGTAGAAGGCACGTGAGTCCTGTGGCCGGGGTGTGCCAGGAGCCTTGACAGGGTAGCCCATCAGATAAAGACAAGAAAGACCTGGAGGCCACTCTGGACACTGCTCAGAGGAGCTGCGACGGGCCAACACCACGCGGCAGCCTCAGCTCTCCAACCCCTCCACGTCCCAGGCCACACTGCCCAGGCTGCTCCCCAGCCCAGAGCCCCCAACCTTCCCTCACCCTGTGGGGGAGGACACCACAGCGGTTCGCACACATAATTACTGGCCAAGAGACAAAACACATGGGGTGAGTCAGCCACATCTAATGGACCCACTGGCCTGGCTTCTGAAGCACAAGACTGTGCCAGCAGAGCCTCATCACAAGTGGCAGCTAAGAGGACTTTAAACCAGACAGAATTTTAGATGCTTTAAATTATTGTTCCAACAGAATCCGAGATGGTTTCTGACATTGAAAATAATATAGTTAAAAGAAAGAGTTTAAGGGCGCGCCTGTGGCTCGGTGGGTAGGGCGCCAGCCCCATATACCGAAGGTGATGGGTTCAAACCCAGCCCTGGCAAAACTGCAATAAAAAAATAGCCGGGCATTGTGGCAGGTACTTGTAGTCCCAGCTACTCGAGAGGCTCAGGCAACAGAATCGCCTAAGCCCAGGGTCTGGAGGTTGCTGTGAGCTGTGACACCACTGCACTCTACCGAGGGTGATAAAGTGAGACTCTGTCTCTAAAAAAAAAAAGAAAGAAAGTTTAAACAAGTCACTTTGGAAACTGACTTCCTGGTCTATCACACTTACAGAAGACCGACTGTTTTAGCTATTAGAATTTGTAAAAACATGAGATCTCCTTTTAGTATTTCTCTTGTTTATGTGCAGTTTTATTTTTTACGTTTTCTTTTCCTCCATTTAAAGAAAGATCAAAAAACTAACTAGGACACACCTGTCTTAACTCCTGGACTTCATCCTTGAGCGCGTACACAGTGTCCACGAGGCTCCTGCAAGAGGACACAACAGACAGGTGAAGGCCAGGGCGGGGCAGGGACAGGGAAGCTGGACGGGCGAGGCAGGTGCCTGGGGCTGCTCGGCCTGGCCACTGCCACAGCTACATCCGCAGCTTTAAAACAACCAACTTCTCTGTGTGGCGGCTAAACTCTCAGTCCAAGTTAACTTTAACCTATGATGAAACTTTTAAAATGCAATTTCGGAAGCCACAGCCCAGCCCCTGGGGAACCTTTCCAACCGCACTGCCCGCCGTGGGGTTGGACACCTGCTCTCAACACTGAAGACATCTTACTTTTCTTCTATCACTGTCTGGCCGTTACTTTTAGTTTCTTCAACTATAATCTTCTCTTCTTCTGGAAGCAGAACTTGTGGAGCAGATTCTTTGCGTGAACCTAAGATCATTTAGAACAATGAAACAAAAACACCTCGGGTCAATGTCAGGGCAGAATGAAGAAATAGAACTTGACTATAAACCATTACTTATAAATATTCGATTCTAGTGACTATGTATTAAACATTTCTCATCAAGACAAGTAGAGAACGGCATCTGTGGCCAGCTTTCTCTGCTGAGCCCCGGCCTTCCCACACCCAAGGCCTCACAGAGGAATCACTGGCCTTTTGACAAATTAACAAACTTCAGCTTCTGAATCTGGATTATGAATGTTTTAAACCCAAACATATTAAACAGGTGATATTTTAAAGGTTCTGACCATATTCCTTGGCATAGGCAGCCAAAGTCTGAGCCACTGTTATTATTCTGAGAATTTCAGAGAGGCATAAGAGACCAAGCAGAACAAATACGCTGTTTATTAATCAAAGAACTGGCGACTGAGCACGGGACTCTGCGGCAGTACTGAAAAGGAAAGATTTACTGTGGCACTTAGGGAAAGTGAAATTTATTATTTGGTTCTTTTATAAAACCTTTACTCTATACTCCCTGGAATATAAATATTTTTCTAAATAAAGTACATACTTTCACAGTTCATACTTTAGAAATTAGTCCAAACGCTCATTTTAGAAGAGAATCAGATCACATTCTTAGAGATTATACAGTATGACAATACCATTTTTAATTTTGAAAATTAAATATTTCAGACGCAAAGTGAAGGAACGGTATTATCCACTGCAGCACACAGACATTTGCAGGTGGCACTGTCTTAAGCATTTTCCCGCAGAAAAAGTCCGCTCAGTGTCTGTGATGTGCTCATTAATTATCAAAGTGGTGGTCTGACTTGCTCAGTCTGGTTTTTTATCACTTATCTTTGATTTGTCTTCCTAAAAGTTTGTCGTATCACAAGAAGGGCCCTTACTGGGCACCCTCATTGTAGTGGGAAAATCTGTATCATACAAATGTTTAAAAGGCAGGATTGGAAAGTGTGGCTTCCCCAGCACCTTCCCGCATGCCGACACTCCTCTGAATGAGCAAGGTTAACAACTACTGTTAAAGCATGATGACAAGATCGCTCCTACAGCACTCCTGACACCACGCCCACAGCAGCACATGAGCGTCCATAGGCCACACGCTGCCCTCTGTGCACCTGCAAGGCCTGCGCCAACATGTCCCAGGCTGTGACAGAGGAAAGTCAGGGATTGGACAAGAGCAGGATGTGGCCCCCTTGTCATCTCGAGTGTGAGACGGTGAGACTGAGTTCAGGGTGAGTGGTCAGGTATAGCGCCACGTCACGCAGCACGAGCCCCAAGGGAGATGCATTTCACCCCAACCAAGGGAAGAGCCTATGGGCACTGAGAATAATTTCAGCTTGTTGATCAGACGTACTCAGAATTCTGTCACATGCTGTAATGTGCTGGCATATCTGAGTATGTTTATAAATGAGTTTGTTAGATACGATCTCAAAGGTACCTCCTGCTAATGCCAGGCAGCAGACCAGTCACTGGGGGGGAGGAGGGTTGTGCACACGCCCTCACAAGGCCACATCCCACCTACCCTCACTGACCTATACCTCAGGAGCTACTTTTTAGACTTAACTGTCAGATAGGACTGCCAGGTATGGTTTCAGAAAGAAACACATTTCTGTAAACAGTAAGCTCCAGTATTAGTCTGCCCAGAAATCTCTGGCAAGTTCCAAGAGGCAAGGGCTGAGACAGCCCCTCCAGACCCTGTGGGCTGAGGGATGGGGCGGGGGGTGGGGGGAGCTAATGGGCAGTGCTACTGGGATATGGGAGCCACAGAGCAAAGCGGGGCCCTACCAGGTGAAGGACTCTCCTGTGCTTGTTACCCACATAAAAGCAGCACATGTTTTTAGAAGAAAAACATTCACATACGACTTGCCCAGAAAATACAAAAGGATTCGTAACTATTCCAATACTATTAATACTACAGGTGTAGGAAACAAACGGCCTCACTTAATCCCCCTGTGAAGAGAAGCAAACTGGCAACTCTGCTTGGCTTAGGCTGACTCCTAAGTGTCCCAGTTACTAATCACTCTGTCAGCCGCTCTGAGCTACGCGGTTGATGCCTGTGTTTGAGTGGAATCAGGAGAAGGCATTTATTATGCATCTCATGTTCAATCTGCAACATGGTCCCTTCAAATGGATCAGCCAATGAAGCTAGTTTTTATGCAACTGTACTTTTTGCCTTTTCTTCTACCTTCCTAGACATTGTATGTTTACAGCACCAAGGTTTTCAAATGACACAAAGCAGAGTCACAGATGGTGTCGACTTCTGGCAGTGCTGTGGGGACACTCTGCAGTGACATCAATTAGCCACTGAGTCTCAGCCTCATTATATATAAAACAACAAAACTGCTTCTCCAGAGCGGTTCTGAGGATTCATTTGAATATCACACATTATAAACATCTTTTAACAGATGAACTCATAAAGAAAAAATCCATTCCATTATATAACATTAACATAATCAATTTGAGGAATTTAGGCCCGTTAAGAATGGCCTTATTTTTGTAAACAAAGTCATGAGGATGTAATGACATAGAAATCTTCATTATGGACAGGATGTACTACCTGCTTGATTCCTGCAGTGCACTAATGTGAAAAATGCCCTTTACAGATCTGATGGTGAGTTAAGAGGCTTATAATTGAAGATTATTCATTAAGCTGCCTAGAAATTCATGTAATGCTAATAATGTCTAGTTTTAATACAAATTTTTCTAAAATGACTGAAAGATTTTATAGCCTTTCAAAAAAAATTTCTAGCCAGGTTTATATATAAGTTGACTAAGAACAAAGTTTTACAAAATAAACAGATTTAACAATTTATCTCAGAAATTATTAACTATCTTTAGAGGCATCATAGCACATTTTCCCCAAATTACTTAAATTGAAAAAACAATTTAACAATAGAACAAATCACTAGAACGTCCTATTACTTTATGTAAAGCCACTGACAGAGGCTCAGTCTGGGATGTACATTCCTAATGTTTCCAGTACAGTCAAGATCTGTGTTTCCCAAACTTCCTTGTTTCTGGAGCTGAGAGGGGTTCCAGAGCACACCATTTCAGGAAATGATGTGTGTACAGCCACCTCTTGGAGATTCACAGTGCACTGTTAGCACAATAGAGGGTTTAGCACTTCTGAAACTCAGATTTTTTAATATATCTAATATTACAAATTAAAACCTGAAAATAGTTTCATAGATAACAGTTTGAGAAGTGCTAGACAAGCCTATAAACTGCCTATTTTTAGAAGCACACACTCAAAATTGCTGGTTGGCTAAATTGTTTCCCATGTGGAGGCAGGAATAAGAAAAACATCAATATAGTAAAATAATTATTTATATTTACACCAACCCAAATCTAGTATGTCTCAAATTTAAGACTTGAGAATGTGCCTGCAGACACTCAGTATCTTACGACCAAGGCCTGCTGAGGAGCACGACAATGACAGTTCCACACTGCCCACCAGGGTCACTGTGCCGTGTGCTGGGCAACACCAGCAGGCACTGGGGCACCATGACAACACTCGGAAGTAGGATTCAGAAGCCTGGAGATGAGTTTGTACTAACATGAACACGTAAGTTAAAATTCTAGATGTATCTGAGTACCCTGCCTCCCCTTCCCTAAATATTCACAGGTCCCTGGAGAACTGTGGACCTTAGTTTAAGAAACACAGATCCAATCTGGTATTTCTATTTTATAGACTAGCCGACTTGCCCAGGCAGTAACAAAGCAAGGACCTGCCCAGAGGGCTCAGTGCCCCACCTAGTTACCCTGGGTGGTCGTTCCTTAATCTGACACAAACGACTGGCTATTTCAGGACTCATGCAGCCTGGTCATCAAATCTAGGCACCTGTATGGTGGGTGGGTCCGCACGCATGTTGGGGCTGCCTGCAACAGAAGCCTAAGACCAGTCTAAGCTCATCAGAAGAGAACACCTGCCCATCTGGCCAGTGGTCGAGCACACTGATGACAAACCTCAGTGTACCGATAGATTGAGATTCTAAAGCTGATTATAATCTTGAAATAACTTTCATAATGGAACAAAATACTGCACTTTGAAAAAAATTTAATGAAATCAGTCAAAAGTCATCTAGGCCACCTTGTTGTTTATGGCTAATTTATTTTTCTTAGAAAAAGAAACTATGCGGCTCTCCGAGCGTTCCCTGAGTTTATCCTCTGCACCCTGCCCAAGCCCTGCGCCTGCCACCAGGACTTCTCCTTCTTTTATTCTGCTTCATCTTCCTCTTCTTAGCCTGATGTGCACTTTATAAGACAAAAATAAGACACCGACCTGACGCTAAATAAAAAGCTTCTAAAGCGCTTTTTCCTATTGATGCAAAAAAGCAATAATGCTTCTTTCTGGAGAAAAACTTTCAAGTGATTTAAAACTTGTTTTAAAAAAATATAAGGGAAAAAGATTAAACAAAAATGTATAAAGAGTAAACCTGAATTGTCTAGAACATACTTAACCTAAGAAAGTGTGAGGTTTTCTCTAGGGTGTCCTGCTGACTGGCCCGCCTGTGTCCAGGGAGAACGGCCAAACGCACTCAACTGCAGACTAGTCTACTCCCCCCTCTCCCACGTAACAAATATTAAAAGCCACGGGCTAGCAAATGCAAAATTTATTTCAACTGTACATAACAGATTTTTTTATAAAACAAACACTTCATTGCCATATGCAACCACAAACAATAATATGCATACTGTACAGTACAATGCAACATTCAGATGTACATCCAGTGTTTTCAAATGTTTGTCACCTACTAAAAATGGCTTTTCCCATTCACAGATAAAGATCACAATATATAGATTTTTTCAAGATCTTATACCACTATATACACATTACTGTGTTTGGCAATTTTATGCAAAACACATACTGTAGCTTATTAGACACCTGCAGCAAGGCTGTTTCAATGGGATACCGGTCAGGCCGCTGGAAAGGGCCTGGTAATGGCTCAAACCTACCTTCGAGTCCAGATTCCCCAGCTTTTCATTGTAACACTAACTGTACACACAGATATTACAGAACTGCATAAACAGAAGATACTATAATTGGTGTGACTAAAGTTCCACAAAAATAGAAACACTGGCCCTTTGGATGCCATATCACCATTGCCACGTGAGAACTGTCTTCTGGGGCCTGTGGCACAAACACTTCTTAACCAGGTGATAAGAGCTAATGGTGTTAGACATTCAAAACAAATGCAAACAAAACGAAAAAGAAAAAGCCAGGTTATCACCTGCAGTAATCTCAGCGTCAACAGAAAAGCATCCTCAAAATGGCTGTAACTGGTATAAAAAGCAATGATGGCAAACTGTCAGCACTTTGGTGTGTAGTGTCAGTGACAATGTCTCATTAAGATAACCAGATGACGCTTGGCATTGAAACAACGAAGTGCAGCAACTGTATTCCCATGTGTGGTACCCACAGCACGGTGACAGGCAGCCCCAGTTCCCTAAGGCATGGCAAAGGCATCTAAACCAATGCACTAATTATGAGTCTCCAAGTAAACAAAGAGATATTCTACTACTAATATCAGAAAAGAGGATTTTCTATATAAAACCGAAACTGCTTCTAAAACCGTCGTGTGATATTAATTAAGTATATAAAGGTCATAGCCATCGTATTTCTCCAGAGATTCCATGTGCTATTATACTGGGACATATATAAACCCCAACTCTACTGGAGATTAGATTAACACTGGGCTTTGACTAAACTTAAAGACTGCTCCTTGGCTTTCTCATTATGAAATATGCAATCTCCAGCTGGCGTGAGCAGTTCAGATGCCACTTGGGAGGGAACAGCTGCCCGGCAAACTTTGTGCCGTCCCCTCCCATGCAGAAAGAAACTGCCTGACCCCCAGACACTGTGCTACTGCCAGGGGCTCACCAGCACCACTGGGTCTGTGAGCAGCGGACCCAGCTTCCAGGACACCACTGACACTGTGTCAGAGGTCACTCTGTGCAAACATCAGCACACTGAATACATGGGTGTGGCAAAGGAGGGTGTGGGTGGGAAAAGAAATAGGCCACCTGGAATTACAGCCACCCTGAAGAAGAAGAGGTGGCAATCCCGTGGCCCATGGCGCCTATTTCAGGGGGTGCTCACAGTAGCCTTGAGCTCCCATCTAAACACTGAGTGTGCATGGCGGACGACACAGCTTGGCCTCTCAAGCGATAGCTAGATGTGGACTCAATGCTACAACTGAATGCAACATGTCGCATTCAGTTTTTGAAGCGGAAATCAGTCTGAGTGAGGCCAGTGAAAACTCCTTACAACAAATCCCAGGAAAGTAGGGGAGATTTTTGTAAGTGAATTACTCGGTGCTAATAGGTCTTCAAAGGACCTTGATGTTGACAGCCTACTATAATAAAACACCAGGGTTGCTGTAAATGGAGTTTCACTGCAGCTGGTTGCTGAAAATAATGTGCTCATGGCTCTTACAGACAACATCAAGTGCAGGTGACAGGGCCAGCCTGGCTGTGACTGAGGCCAAAGCACCCAACTTTTAAGCACACCAATGGCCTCTCTGAACATAGCCTCGCCTGCACGTGCAGAGGCTGAATGTTTCAGGTTTAGGCTTCAGACCTTTCGTGCAGGAACTTGAGTGGTGAGTGAGCTAAGTGCAGTGACGGAAATCACTGCAGTTTAGAGAAGGCTGCTGTGAAGATGAGCGTGAGCATCTGAGCCATGACAGCAAGTTCTGCCCTTCACGGCCCCACACAGGACATGCAAGAGCACAGAGCTGTGGGGTGTGGACATCTCTGCACGTACAGGACGCCCGTCCATCTGTGCACCTGCCAAGGCCCTGGACCCACACCATCCTGTACGACCACCAGACACAGCTCGGCCTGGCTCCGCAATGCTACGTGCCGTCTGTCTCTACAGCTACTGCACCATGTTCGTTGTGCGTGAAACACTCAGGCCCCTCAATATAAAGCGGGGTCTGCCTCCATGTTGTGGCACTTAGATCACAAACCTGTGTGTTTTCAGTATAAAATATAAAAGTGTTCATACAGCTGTATTCAAAAATAAATGAAACAGTTGCTACACTGAGAATAAAAACTCAAACCACATGGAGCAGTGGGCACTGCCACCGAGAAGAGCACCCTAGGGTGCAGGGCGTGAGCCACCCCCTCCCTCCACCACAGCTTGGAGTATAAACTCCAAGCGGCAGTTAAGCCTCTACAAAGTACAACGGGAAATACCAGGAACACTCTCAAAAGTTGTAAAATATCACATAAAAGAGACAAGAACAGCAAGAAAACATCTAAGAAAAGCAGGCTGCGATACCACAAGCATTTGTTAAGAAAAGCTCAGGTGCGTTAGTTCTGGTGAGAGATATATGAGCAACAGCTCTTACGAGAGGCAGAACCCATTCTGTAACTATGGGCTGTCCATATACTGTCATAGTCAGAGTCTTCCGAGAGGTCTGAAGGCTCCAAACGAGAAAGGCTACTGCGACGACCCAGGGAGTCTAGACTTGACTGGTCGTCGTCAGCCAGGACGTGATTATGCATCAGGTCAGTGCCTTGCCATGCTAAGACGTGGGGACGTGACGGGGGTGACAGGCGGGGGAGGAGGACAGACAGGAAGAGCCACAACCAAAAACATGGAACAAAAGCAAAAGGTGATGGGAAGAGAAGGAAAAGAGAAAATACTGTTAAAAAATGCAACAATGTTCATTTCTCCTTACTTATGGCTGGGTTTTAATTATGAACTTAGTACAACCACATCAATTATTTTTTAAATAAACCTAACACATGATATTACTTTCAAATTACTTTTTTCAAGGTAATGCTATAATATAAAGCCCTCAATTAAGAAAACTTTTCCAAATTATGCCCATGTCCAAAAGACGATTCTATAAACATTTGGCAATTAACCAATTTCTATTCCACATTCTATAAACAAATGATCTCACTTAGGACATTTTCTGTAAAAGGGCCCATGTATGTGGCTACTTGAAAATGACTTCTTATTTTAAGTAAATGTATTCAGTGCAAAATAATCTCAAAGGGATTTGGACTTCCCTTCAGCTATGCCAAGACTATAAATAAATCCATCACCTGGGGGGTTGAAACTTACCGTATCAATCTATGACCACTGTGAGAATTTCAGAAGGGAGAAAGTACTAATCAGGGCTCATGACCTTCCCTGCACCCGCTACCTGCTTCCTGCGCTTGCCAGGGCTCAGCCCCAGGCATGGGGACAGCAGAGAGCTAAGTGTGTCTGCACTGTCACTGACCCTAAGGCAGATGCTTTGCCATCAGGAACAGGTGTGAACTGGTAATGCCACAATGCTAAAAGGACAACAGAAGGAAGTGTACAAAACTGGAAGAGACAGAACCCACAGCGGCTGCTAACTACAAGCAGTAACACTGGTCAGGCAGCAGGCTGAGAGGCACGCAGGGCTGCAGCCCTAACCAGGGAGCAGGGCCCTCTGCACCAGGGCATGATGCTGCAGTGCCACACAGCAGCCGCGGGCTCACAGCCTCCTCCTGCTTCTGGTCTGAACAACCTGTTTCCAGACTATAACTAATGTCTGGTCTGAGAAGGTCATTAATTCCTTGATACAGAAATCAAGACCAAAGATGTTTGGTTTATAAAGTCTTCTTGGGATCCAAACGTATACTGAACAGAACAATTTTAGGTAAATATACATTATCCTTCTAAAAACTGTTTTACTAAGCACTTAATATAAAAAGAGCTGTTTGGGGCCTGGCTCACTCCTATAATCCCAGCATTCTGGGAGGCAAGGCGGGAAGGTGGCTTGAGCTCAGAAGTTTAAGACCAACCTGAGTAAGAGGGAGATACTGTCTCCACTAAAATAAAAAAATCAGCTGGCTGTTATGGTGGATGACTGTAGTCCCAGCTACTCAGGAGTCTGAGGCAGGAGGACTGCTTGGGCCCAGGAGTTTGAGGTTATTGTGGGCTAGGCTGAAATGAGACTGTCTCACCCAAAAAAAAAGGCTACTTTCACTATGATCCCATTTCCATTATGCAGACCTTCCCAGAACAATCAATTTCTCAATTCTCTTATGAAGAAATCTCTAGTTTCTCCTTGTTTTTTAAGGTTGTTAGGCTTAAGGAGATATATGGTTATCAGCCCTCTGAGGCCTTAGACTGGTTTGCCCACAATATTCGCTAAAACCAAAAATCCACGTTATCATCCGAAGTTTTTCTTGCACAGGAGAAATGAAAGTACATAACACAGGCAACTTGATGAAAAAAGGAGGTCTTGGTGTTCTTTTCAGGTAGGTAAAAGCAGCAAAGCTGTGCCCAGGCGAGTCACAGGGCACTGTCCCTGGTTGTGAGACACGAGGCCTGCACTGGGACACACTAGATGCTTGGGGAACAGCTTCCAGGACTCCTTGGACACCAGAACCTCAGCTGTTCAAAGCTGTTCAAGTCCCTGGTATAAAATGGCACAGTGTTCACATGTAGCCCATACACGTCCTCCCATGTGCTACAGATGGTCTCTAGACCACCGATAACACCTACCCAGTGGAAGAGTTGTGTAAATGGCTAGTCTACTGTATTGACTTTGTAACTTATTATTTTATTGCTGCATTATTTTTTCTTCTCTAATATTTTTTCATCTGCGATTGGTTCGATCTGCAGGTGCAGAGCCCATAGACACAGAAGGCCGAATGAATCTGGTCTATTTGTCTGAGACTGCTGAGTTTAAATACTTTATTTCAAGTAACTGAAATTTAGATAACTTAAAACATTTTCGATTCAGGAGCACATGTAGCTCAGTGGCTAAGGCACCAGCCACATGCTCTAGGGCTGGAGGGTTCAAACCTGGCCTGGGCCTGCTAAACAAAAAAAAAAAGCCAGTCGTTGTGGTGGGCACCTATAGTCCCAGCTACTCAGGAGGCTGAGGCAAGAAAATCGCTTGAGCCCAAGAGCTGGAGGTTGCTGTGAGCTGTGATGCCACGGCACTCTACTGAGGGCGACAAAATGAGACTCTGCCTCAAAATAAAATTTCAATTCAGTCCAAAACCCTATGGCTATATCTTATAGCCTATAACTTAAAATATAATCACTGTCAGATTATGAACATGTAATACCTTTAATCACAATAATTTGTGATTATAAATTATTACTTCATTATACAGATACTTAATCCACATCCTGATGCTTCACCCTGACCTTTTCACGTCCTTCCTACTGTGCTGAGCAGTTACTACAAATAGGTATTTCCACCGAAGTATAGACAGTGCTGCCCCTTGGCAAAAAGTCTCAATGCCCCAGGTGGGATAAGGTGTAGTACTAGAAATGGTAACAAAAATCAAAAAGTGTTTTTAGATAATCCACAGACTCTACCCGGGATTTAACCCTGCCAGCCTATCTTCACAGCTAGCATCTTTGACAAAAGTTAACGCAAGTAAAGCCCTTTTTTTCAACATTAGTTTAAAATAAGACGTGATGCTAACTCAAACCACCACACTGCAGACGACGACAAAGAAGAGGGAGATAAACTATCTGCCCACAGTCCAGGCGGAAAAAAATCAGGTGCTCAAGTCTAACAGACCCCAGTTTTTATGCTGAAGTAAAATATCGATCAGCCACCTCTTACAAAAAAAAAAAAGAAAAACCACCTAAGAAGTGACAGGACAAGAGGACAAGCTGTGTCCTCCACGCAGGCAGCATAACCCGTGAGCCCACTGGGCACAGGCGCGGCAGAGGGAGCCCCTCCCGCAGACCATGCACCGCAACCCCAGGGGCTGGGAAGGTCCAGTCCACACAGGACGTCACACAGAAGACACGGGCGAGAAGATCCAAAGGAAAAAGCCGCCTTCCAGTCCATACGTGGACATTATTACACAAGACACAGGTGAGTTTGGTCGTTCTGAAATCTACTGAGCAAGTTAGTTGTTAACTTCTGAAAATTAAAGAAAAAAAGAAGTCATTTTTCTAAAAAAAAAAAAAAGGCAAACAAACAAAAAGGCTGAATGAAGCTGCATTCTAGGTTTATATTTTGAACAACAATAAGCAGCTTTAAAAAAATCTCAACACCACACATCAATAGTTCAAGCAGCTGAAACAAAGGCACTGCTCTTCCACTACTTTCTACACAAATCCTCTCTGAGCAGAAGTTGTTTATGAATTCTGGCTGTACCTGATACCTAAATATTTCCTAACAAATGTTTCTAGAAGGTCACACACAGCTACCATGCCCTCGACTCAGGCAGCTGGCTGCCTGCTTCCCGCCTGATGCCCCCATGGGGAAGAGCAAGGCCACAGAGCCGTTTCCTTCATCTCGTCACTTGAAACAAAACAGAATCAAACACCCCGATTCCCAGGACATCACCGGGAAACTTACTTGAGTTGAGCGTCTGCCGCGTTTTGGCGCTTGTGCAGTAAGCTTCAATGACTTTCAGAATCTGAGCATCTTCTTCCAAAGCGGCCGTGCCTGTCAAGAGACACGTGACACTCAAATCCAGGTCACTCCCAAGTAGGACTGACCAGATGGGCACAGCCATCAGCTTGGCCAAGAGGGACAGTGACAATAACCCCTCCTTCTGCTTTCTTGCAACCATTTTCTAGGTATTTACAAACAGTAATATTTAAAAGCAGTTTTAGTTTTTTAAGTGTATTTTATCTGCAAAGTGTCTGGCAAAGTGCTAATATCCCAACTTACAGAGGCA